CACCTGCCCCGCGCCCAACGTCTCGGCGCCGGCGGTGGACTGGGCGCTGTGGCGTGGCCCGGGAGTTCGCAGTCCGCGGGGCGCGCACCGCGTTGACCTGGGCGGCCCCGCGGCAGGCAGGCGCCCGCGGGTCCATGGTTGGCTCGGAGCGCGATGAGCCGCCCGTCCTCCACCGGCCCCAGCGCTAACAAGCCCTGCAGCAAGCAGCCGCCGCCGCCGCCGCAGACCCAGCACGCTCCGTCCCCGGCTGCGCCCCCCGCCGCCGCCACCATCTCGGCTTCGGGCCCCGGCTCGTCCGCGGTGCCCGCCGCGGCAGCGGTGATCTCGGGCCCCGGGGGCGGCGGCGGCGGGGCTGGTCCGGTGTCCCCGCAGCCCCACGAGCTGACCTCGCTCTTCGAGTGCCCGGTCTGCTTTGACTATGTCCTGCCTCCCATCCTGCAGTGCCAGGCCGGGCACCTGGTGTGTAACCAATGCCGCCAGAAGTTGAGCTGCTGCCCGACGTGCAGGGGCGCACTGACGCCCAGCATCAGGAACCTGGCTATGGAGAAGGTGGCCTCAGCAGTGCTGTTCCCCTGTAAGGTAAGCTCAGGGGCTACTCTCGCACTGCTGCCCGGCGGCGCTCTTCCGGAACACCAGTGCCCTCTAGCCCACTCGCTGGCCCTAAGAGGCCGCCGATGGCATCTGTCGTTTCAAAAACAAATTACACTCTTTCTATCCTCCACCTGCCCACCTGTCTGCTTTAGGAGTATCTTGGGCTGACATTTGTCTGAACACTAATAGAAGAAACACTGACACTCGCTGGCTGGGCGTTTGAACACATCACCGCGCTCCCAGCCCGAGTCCTCTGCAGACGTGTACTGGGGTGTGTTGGCTAGGCTTGGGCCCACAAGTAAACTTTGACTGGGAAGCCACGGTGGGGATGAGGAAGAAGGAAGTAGGTGAGTTCATCGCAGCCTTTTCTAGTCCTCGGCCTGGCAGGATTGCTGCTGGATTCCTCCTGGACCCTGAGCCAACCGCGTGCACACCCTGACACGTGGGAGAGCTCTCTGGCGTGTAGGTGGGGGAAAGGCGCCTGCAGCCTGTTTTCCTCCAGCGGTGAAGAAACCCTGCAGGCCTCGCCTTCTCCTCTGCTGGCCTAACAAGGCCTGGGAAGGACTGAGGAGCTGTGGCTGAGTTTTTGTACTAAATGGAATGAACACGGGAATCAGGAATTTCACAAGGGCACACAGGAGCTGTTATTACGTTCTTTAATGCCTATTTCTTTAGTCTTTATTTAATTTAAAAAGTTACCAATGCACTTGTGAAAAGTGTAACCACAAAGACAAACGAAGCGACAGCTCAGTGTCTTTTCCCTTCCCCTACCACTGTTTTTAGGTTTAGTATGTATCTGTATAAACTTTTAAAG